AAACATGGCGGTAACCCCGCTTCCAAGAGGCAAGTTGCGGTTGTCATCATAATGAACTGATTGTTCCTCTCCGCCAGAGAATTGTTCTGAGGATGATTCGGTAGAGAGTGATCGAATGGGATCTTCAGCTGCTTCATAGCCGTCTCAAACTCTGGGGCTTTGTCGGCATAAGCAATCTTGATCTTCTTCAATCCTTCGAAGTGGTTTATTGCATTGACCACGTCCTTGGTAAACCTCTCTTTCGACGGATAGGCCCATATGACGCCTGTGTACCTGTCACGAATGACGAAGATCTCTCGATCAGTACTGATCCCTTGATCAAGGATGTTCCTCGTATCGACAAAATCAAAGGTAACCAGATCTCCAAAAGCTTTGAGCTTTCTCTTGAACGCTCCTCGATGCGTCTTGAAGTGTTTCATCTTTGCTCTGATGCATGACTCACAGTAGGGATTCTTGTAACGATGTGTGAGTAGATGCTCGATTTTCCTGGCATCTGCTTTCAGAGTTCCTCTTCTCACCATTCTACTTGCACCGTCAACAACATCCACCTCGATGTCATCTGCATCATCATCGTCAGCTTCTGGTTCACTGTCTCCGGCGACATCTGATCCTACCTCATCTTCTTCTCCAGGAGATGCCTTGAACTTCTTATTCCTCTTTCGCCTTTTGACTTTTGGAGGCTCAATCACAGGGAGGTCGTCATCATCACACATGATTCCTTGAGGATCCACATCACAGTTGATGAAAGTCGATTGGTAATCAGCTTCATCTTCTCCTAGGGTGAACCTTGCGATCATCTCCGCCCTTGCATCGTCGGTGGGAGTACAGAAGTCACTGCCTTTGACAATATATGGGATGTTTCCCTCTTTCTTGTAGTTCGGGGAAACCATGTATGGGTTGCCGCAGGCTGGCCATATGAATGTGTATCCTTCCTCCATGCATTTCTTTCCAACAGACAGTACTGAAGGAGACTCATCTAAGACGAATGGGGAGTAGGTAGAGTCAAATTCGTCGAAATGAATGTCGGCGACTCCCTTTGTGGATGTCACTCCATTTGCAGTATAGAATGACATTGATTGGTCGCTTTCTCTCACTTCCAGACCTAATTTCTTGGCTCTGCCTTTCGATATCAAATCATACCCACATCCTGTGTCCATGATGAACTTTGTCCTTGACCCTTTGGCTGGAATAGACAATGTCTTTGTATCTGCATGATCTTTCTTTCCCTCGCATACATGAGGAATGACTTTATGATGGAAAACTAGGCCGTCATCTTCGTCAAAAGACATAGTGACCGCTAGGTCACCCTTTGGTCCAACTGGTATTCGGACCTTCTTGATCTCAGTGTAGGGGACCATCAATATGCCTCTCGCCTCTGCGACCTTTTCTTCGAATCTGATTTGTTCTTTCCTCGTGTAGCAGGTGAGCTCTTTCTCATCGTATCGTTTGATGTTTGGACGTAGAGGTTTCTTTTCTACTACCTTCCATTTGTCCCTGACTGAGTAGATCGCTTCGTTCAACATGATCTCACAAGTCTCTTCATCAAAGGATACTTTTGCACCTCCTTCTCTTGCCTTGGCGGATGCAGCAATCCCTTCATCTTCGGATTCGTCCATGAAGAGTTCACCATCAATGGCTGGGGCTCCAGGCTTTGCCTTAGGCTTCGGTTTGGGTTTTGCCTTAGGCTTTGGCCTGTCGTCTCCTGAGTCAGCTGGTGCAGAGATCCCCTTCTTAGGAGAGGCTTTTGGGTCATGGTAGAACTTGCAATCCTTCCCTTTGTCACAGGTTCCTCGAATCCACATCCAACATACTGGCTTGTCACTCTTTCCGACAGAAGATCCTCTGGATGGTGATCTGGGTTTCTTGTGACTGAATGGGCAATCTTTCCCCATAGTGCAATTACCTTTCACGAAGTATTTGCATGGTATCTTCTTCTTGTCTGTACTCGGACTTCGGCTGCGATCCTTTCCATCACCTTTACCTTTCCCCTTTCCCTTTTTGTTCTTGTCTTCAGGATGCTTCTTGGGATTGGGTTTCGGCTTCACTGCAGCAGCGTCTTCTGGGACAACCTGTTCTTGTTGCCCTTTTGGTTTCTTCTTCGGATCAGCTGGTGCAGCTTTCAGTTTTGGAGCAGGTCCGCCTGGTTTGAGATTCTGAAAGATATTGGCCACATTCTTCACTGCCTTCTCCTTTTCCAGGATCATCCTGTCTTCAGTTTGCCGTTCGATGTGCCTCCTGATCATATCACGTAGATGTTTGTATGTCTTCTTGGCATCATCGTCATTCATGCTGTTGTAGGCGCTGATGTCGTATGCCATGAGGTTTGAGTTCCTGATCTTTCTCCATAGGAGATCCCGAAGAGTTTCGTCGCTCGGGACGTCAACGGGCTCAAGTGTGGAAGAACAACGATAAGTTCTTGTCTCCTTGATATTCTAGTTGGTAGAGGTGCATTGAAGTATACAAGACTTCCACATTTGATGTTGTCTTGAAATTCATAAGGATCAGGGCTAGGACCTCTCTTCCCTTTATGAGGCTTGATGTTCTCCCTTTTGCATTGATCCTCGTCCTCAACTTCATAGCTACACCTGAACCATCATCTTTCGCATCCATGACGACCTTGGTAAGAGCTAGGCCGAGTTTGGCATCAATTGAATGGAATCTTTGGTCTCCTGAGTCGACAAACTTGTCCGGATCAGGATCGCCCATGGCTTCTTTGATCCATTCGATCCAGGGCTCTTGATCTGAATCATTGGCCGCAATGATGATCGATTGAATGAGATTTGCCTTCCATAGTCCAAGATCATTGATCCTGGGCCGTGACGGAACGTTTATCTTTGATTCCTCCTTCCTCGATACTTTCATGATTGTAGAGGTCGCCGGTGCAAGATGAGATGAAGAGGATGCTTCTGCTTCTGAAATCTTGTCCCTCAATGATTTGTTCGCTTCGGATAGCTCAATTGAGTTCTCCCTTTCCTCGGCATACTCATTGTGGGTTTCGGAATACCATCCATACATCTCATCTCGGCTCTCTGTCATTTCATTGTACTCGTCCTTGTAGTGCTTCGCCTCCTCTTTTGCGTTCCGAATCTCATCTTCCTCGGACGCGTGGGTTGGTAACCCGCGGTCTCTGGAACTAGGACGCTTGCTGTACCGAGAGACTATGGGTGCCATTCGTGCTTCTGCTTTTAATTTCGCATTCTCCATAATGACATCCTTCGTCTCCTTCTGGCTTTCCAATAGTGCATTCTCCAGTTCCCTGATCTTTCGTTGAATTTCAGCACCATCATCGCCAAACATAGGAGCTCTCATCATATTCTCTCTTTTCAGCTGTGCGTTGGCTTCGGATAGAGCGAGGTTGGCATCTTTCAACTGCTGTCGTTCACGGATGGAACCCTCTAGGGCTTCATTGCTGAATATTTCTCCTTTTGCGATAACCTCCTTTGCGACATTTGCTTCGTATTCATGGTGGCTCGCCTTCGTTTCTGCAATTTCTCTAGCAGATACTTCAGTCTGGCATACAAATATCTCCATCCTCATGCCCACTTCCATCTCTTCTATCTCCGCTTTCGCGTTGAGTTCAGCTCCACGTGCCATAGCTAGTTGACCTCGTAGATGATCAATAACCATAGCTTCCTGATTGCTCTGATCTTGAGATGAGTGAACACTGTGTTGAAGACGTCTTTCCCTGACCTCACTGTTCCATTGTTCTTCTCTCTGGTGTTGGATCACCTCGTGCATGTTGACATTCTCATCCTGTAGCGCAATCATTCTAGCTTGTATCTGGTCAGCTATTCCGACGAAGGCTGTGTTCTCGTCCTGAATGGCTTTTGATCTTCTGTTGATCGCCAATGAGGATTCATTCTGTTCTTGGATGTGTCCAATTGCTGCTTGAAGCTCTTGGGACATTCTGTCTTTCGTTGCTTTCACAGATTCAAGCTCTGAATGTTCTTGATGAGTTTCTTGTGCAAGCTCTTGATATCTCATGTAGATATGTTCAGCTGTCGATTCCGCCAAGCGTAGCTTGTGTTCGAGCTCTTCAATTCTTATTGTCGCTCCTTCATCCTCCTGTGCCATCTCTTGTAGATGTTCCTGCGTCTTCATGTTGTAGTCAGACATTTGCCTGAACTCCACCTCAGCTTCGTGGTGTAGTCGTGAGTATCCGGCTTGGATGCATTCATATTCTTCATGAAGAAAATTGTATGCGTTTCTCGCCGATCTCAATTCTTCACCCAGCTGAATCTCTCTTCTTTGCTCTTTTGTTCCTCTATCATCGTCACGTCTCTTCTCTATACTCCTTCTTGGGGATCTCGCGGTAGACGTTATAGGCGATGTAGATCTTTTTGTAGCTCTCATCGATCTTCTTGGTCCTACGGGTGCAAGATCGGTCAGATTCCGAGCCGGTGGCATGGATCTTTCCGAGATTTGTGATCCAGTAGGCATAGTGATAACGTCAGCATTTGCTGATGAGTCAGTACCCATTGCAGAGTCTGGTGACGAAATGGTGTTGGGATCACCAGGAGCAGCGAATGAATAGGGTTCGCTTCCATTTCCTCCTGAGCTTGACATTGCAGGTTTCTGTAATGACTAGTCTTGTTCTTGGTCTCGTGTAGCTCGTACGGCTATAAAGAGCGCGTACGGCTGATAACCTGCGAGTGGATCTTAATCAGCGAAGTTTGAAGCTATCACTGACGGTCCATAAGCGGCGTAGCGTCGGAACGGAAACCGCACCTTTTCTAGTCGCTTGATCCTTGAGCCAAAGTATATATGGTATGTATATACATGTACAAGTTGCACTGTACATATCGCTGCACTTCCATTCGCAGAAAGCAATCCTTGACCTCACCTTTGAGACGCTCTTGGAAGCGCGAAACAATGCCACCTAGCAGCCTATGATTTCTCAAGGTCTAGAAGATAGAAATATGTATTGTATCGGCTTGCTGCACATCACAAAGCCAGGGAGTCAACTTCGATTTGCGACACACAACTAAACGGAGCGGCGCCTGGGCATCGTCTTTCATGTCAGGTGCAAAATCAGCATTATTGAGACTCCTCTCGTCTAGGACATCGATGTAGAGGTTCGGTTTTGCTTTCCTCAAGTCTCCCAAGGCTTGAAGCCCTCTGTGCCCAATGTTGTTGCGTCCTAGCCTGAGCTCTTCGACCTTGTCGCAATTTAGGAGTGTTGCCGCAGTATGTTCTACTTCTTCATCTCCGAGTCCACAGGACTCCATTTGGAAGGATCGTGCATTCGTCCTGGCCACTGCCACAGCTGCATTGAATGACAACAAGTTGCCATTGACTACGACCTCATCTAGATCTGCATAGAACGGCAAAGCTGCACAAAGAACGTCAAGAGCATCTGCGTCCAAGTGTTCAGCCATCAACTGCCGGGTGGTCAAGACCTTCTCTGCAAAGACCTGAGCTTGGAGCTTCATGACAACTTCCTTGTCATCATGGTGGGTGAAACGGAGACCTTGTTCCTCCATCTTGCGGCGGAATAGGTCCGGTGGCATTGGAACGCAGGAGACTAATGACATCCGCAGGCTTGACCATTGCCGCTCAGCTTGACACCATCCTCGGAGCAAGTAAGGTGTCATATTGACCGTGAGTTGGTCAATTGGGATAGGAATCACACGCCCTGCCTTCTCAAAGAAAGCATTGACAGTTCCTGGACGCTTCCATGTCTCAGGAGTGAGCTCTTCCACTATGTGGACCTTGATTGCCTCGTGGGCGTAGAGTGTGTGCATGTGTGCCAAAGCTTCTCTGAAGTATCTTTCCTGTGGCTCAGTTCGGCCACCGTACTGGTAAAGCGAGCTAAAATCATAGAAAATCCAAACTGAACAAGTGGAGGTGACGGGAGGGCACTTTTGGATGATCTCGTGGAGCTGAAACCCATGTGGGTCTGGATGCTCCATGCTCTCCCAAACGTGAGAGATTGACATGATAAGCACCGTCACCCTCCGCGGTGTGGGGTCCATGACGTACATGCTCATGTTGCCCAAGGCATCAATCTCCACCCTCTGCAACTCTGATGGCTGAACGATGGCAGGAAGACCTGCAGCTGTGACTTCGAAGTCTGCTTCCTGCCTGCGAGGGAACCTTCGATCTGTGTCAATCATCTCCCGCAAGTACTCCAACCGCATCAAGCCAATGTTTGCGTCGAGGAGAAGTCGAATCAGCTGCTGCGGGTCTTGCAGGTTGTACTTGCCTAACAAGTCATTCAAAATTGACATTTGGCTGTGGGCGAAGGTTCAGGTTCAGTGTTTTCTGTAAAGAACTGAGTGGGCCCAAACGGCAGGAAAGGCTTACTTATTGCATCCGTGTGATACCCGGTACCCATCCACCCAGGCACATGAGCAAAGCACCCTTTTCAGTTTCCTAAGGGGTTAACTTCCTACTTTATAAGGTTGCTGATGGCCCAGCATGCCGGGCAATTTCTGCTCTGAGTGCTAGCAAAGCACACTAAAGGATATAAAAAAACATCGGTGTTGATTGTAAATATCACCAACAAAAAGCACCATCGACACAAAATCATGAAGTGCTCCCGAACGCCTTCAAATTGCAGACACAAGTAGTTCAATAAAATAACTCATTCCAAGTTGCTCCGAGTCCCAAGGGCTCCACGAGCTCCGAGAACTCCTCCCTGCATCGCGTTAGAAGCCTGAGAGGCGGTGGCTTCTGGGGGGGAAGCTGTTACGACTCAAGATCATGACTGAGGAAGCGTGCTCTATTTCACCATCCTTCGTGAGACCGTGATCCGGAATCATGATGTTGAAACAAGCACGCCAGGTTCTGATTGCATGATTTCAGTCCCTACTCTTCTTATTCAACACCAGCGTCCCAAAACATTGTCCTTTGTTGTCTGTGAGTTCCCATTCTCATTCAAACGCCATTGCTTCTCAACTCTTCGGCGCCTGAGTTGCACTTTGTGAAGCACCGACTTCCTGGCGCTTCAGTAAACAAGCGATTCGTGGGGAAGTGAATAGAAGTGAATAGAAACCGGAAACCGAAACCAAACAACACATCCACCTGTGGGAATATGGACCCCGCATATACAGCTCACCGTTCCAACAACGTCGCATCAGAGCGCTCCTCATCGTCGTTGACCTCACAGGGACACAACGGTTTTCCTCAACCATGAACACGCTGGACTCGTTAAGAACACGCTGGACTCAACATGCCCAATGAATCCGTTGAGTTAAAGGCTGACCGTCTCTCGCGCTGCTGTGGCGTCAGGCCAAAGCTATTGCAGTAACAGAACTGGCATAGTCAATGCCAGCTTCTTTCAAAGACAAATGTTCTTCCCTGGCAGGACCGATTGCTGCCCCCAAATGGAAAGCGCGTCCTTTGCGCACCGGTGGTTGGGTCTGCATTGTCTCAAGATTCGGTGGTGAACAATTTATACGGTATCTTCCTTTGCCCAAATCTCTCCACGACTCATTCCAGAATAGCGCCGTCCAACTCAAAACTTGCAGGAGGCACAAAGTCGTTCCAGAACTTGTAACCAGGTGGTGGATCCCAGTCCCAAGCTTTGACCTCGGCCAAGATTGACCATCGCGTCGGGGCTGGGCTATCCAAAAAAAATATATCAAAACAATAAAATGCTCTATCAATCTCCTATCAAACAGAAAATTAATCTGTACCAAAAACAAAATATCCTTTCACAAAGAGCTGCGCCTGCCAGGCAGGAGCAGCACTTTGTGCACTGGAAGTGCAGATTTCTTTGAGCACCTCCAGTAGCAAATTTTGCTCACAAAAGGTCTGCTACCTTGGCGTGGCACCTAAAGTTCACCCCCGGGTGGCTCACAAAAGGTCTGCTACGTTGGAATAGCAGCATAGCAAATTCTACCCTCGGGTTGCTCACAAAACAAAGGCCTGCTATGTTGGAATGGTAATTTCTTCCTCTAAATTTTAACCTCGCCAGGCTAACAAAAGGTCTGCAACGTTGGAATGGTTCCTTCCTCTTCTAAATTTTGCCCTCAGGTGGCTCACAAAAGTTTGCTACCTTGGAATGGCACCTTCTTCGTTCAAATTTTACCGTCAGGGTGGCTCACAAAAAGGAATGCTGCGTCTGGTGCTAAAAGGTCTGCTACTGTGCTTCACAGGATGTATGACCAGATTTCCAAATCACCTTGAACGCGTCTTGCCTCGAAAGTACAGACCCAAGACCAGGACAAAGGACCAAAGAACCAGAGGACCAAAGGACCTCCTCTGGTCCAAGGGACCAGAGGACCAGGGGACCAAGGGACGAGGGGACCAGGACCAAAGGACCAAGGGTACGAATTAATGTGTTATTTTGATAGGATCAATGCCTTTCCCCACATCTTAGTGTGGGGTTCTTCTTTTCTATGTCTCATCCCGCTTCCTCCGCCCGCCTCCGCCCGCCTCCGCCTCCGCCACACACACCGAGACAACACAGACAGAGATCACACAGACAGAGACACACACACCGAGATCACGCACACAGAGACCACACACACAGACAAAGACCATACACACAGAGATCACACACATCTTACGTGGCAGGCACAGCACTTTGTGAACCTCCATGTGCAGAATTCGTGGCAGGCGCAGCACTTTGTGAACCTCCATGCTCCGTTAGAGGCTGTGGGTGTTGCGTTGTCTGCGGTTGTCGGCGGTTGTCGGCGGTGGTCGCCGGTCCGTCCCTCCATTGCGATTAGAGTGTTCACTTGTTTCTTGACGTGCAGAATTCGTGACAGGCGCAGCACTTTGTGAACCTCCATGCTCCGTTAGCAGATGTCGTGGCAGGCACAGCACTTTGTGAACCTCCATGTGCAGATTTCGTGGCAGGTGCAGCGCTTTGCGAAGCTCGAGGTGCAGATTTCGTGGCAGGCACAGCAGTTTGTCAACCTCCATGCGCAGATTTCGTGGCAGGCACAGCACTTTGTGAACCTCCATGCGCAGATTTCCTGGCCGGCGCAGCACTTTGTGAACCTCCATACGCAGATTGCACTCCGTCAGAGGCTCTGGCGGTTGCGTTGTCAGCGTTGTCGGCTGTGGTCACCGCTGGTCGCCGCTGGTCGGCTGCACAGACAGAGACTCTGACAGAGATCACACACACAGAGACCACACACACACAGACAACGCGTACAGAGACAACACCGAAGCGTCTCAGTGCGATGCGACGATATTATGATGCTCAGTTTGTGTGGCTGCTTTTGTTTTATGGGAAAAATTGAATGCTGACATGGCTAGATTTCAGAAGTGTCTCAGAAGCTTCGCAGTTTAAAATCACTTTCAAACCAGAACTGAATCGCCTGGAGTGCTCAAGCTTCGCTGCGGAGAGTGTGCCGGATCTACCAGGCCGCTGTGTGTGAATTTTATACATGCTGTTTGGATTCATTCTCTGCGCAGTCTCACTGCATAGGGTTTGCAGCCAGTGATGTGCAGGTGTTCAGAAAATGTGCCCGATCTACCAGGCCGCTTTATGTGAATTTTATAAATGCTGTTTGGATTCATTCTCTGCGCAGTATCACTGCACAGGGTTTGCAGCCAGCGCTATTTGTTTACTTGAAACTCTTTTTTTGGTTCAAGCAAGAGACGATCCCATTTGGAGAGCCGCTTGAGCTGCTGACATGGCAGCCATACAGACTCAGCAGCTTTTGGTTCCTGCGCGGACGTATTACGTGGCACTGTTGCCGCAGGTCTGTCGCTGAGTGGTCGGACTTTGGGTTTTTCTTTCTTGGTCTTCATTTATTTACTATTAAACTTTCCTTTGTCTTTTCTTTCTTCTCATGCCCAGTGCGTCGGTTATGGATCTTGAGATGAAGTCGCGCTAGAGGCGCGTGAGCAAAGTGCGCAGGCTGCGCGCTGGCAGCCGGGTGCGCGGGAGCACTTGAGTCTACGGTCGACTGAAGCATTGGCTCTGGAGCGGTATCGTTGGTGGGAGCAAGTGAACGCACCATTGTCACTTGTTGTTGCAACAACACTTTTTACGGTTGGATTTTTTCTTTCGCTTTGTTTGGCGGTTTGTGTGCACGCATGTGGTTCTTGAGGCCAGATCCTTGCATGGTGAAGGTGGAATTTACGAGCCAGGGTTGGGATTGGTTGCAGCGAGAGGGCTTGTTGAAGATTTTAAGTCCCGCGACCTGGGCGCGATTCACCGGTGTCCTGCAGATGGGCCGGGTGGTACCGAGCGCCGACGACGCTACGGAGTTGTATCGGTGCTCGGCGGTGTCGTGAAAGGCACATCGGTAAACGACCGCATTTCGGAAGCTTACCGCATAGTTGCGCGACCGCATTTCGGAAGCTTACCGTGGAGATTCGGACACACCGATCAGCGCTAAAATTCGAAACAGCTTCGCGAGCCAGAAGGGGTTTTCGCGGTAAATTTGTTACTTGGATGTTTGTGATCTGTGTTTCTTGAACGCTTTCGGACATGCAGGTTTATGCTTGTGTTCCGGATCTGCCAGGCCACTTGTTGGATTTTGGATTCTTCGCAGAGCATGAATAAGTGCATAGCGTTTGCGGCCAGTGCTTTCAGTTTGAAGCAGTTTTTGGTTCAAGTCAGAGACGATCCCATTTGGAGAGCCGATGGCATCTTCCATGGAGCCGACAAAAAACGATGTAAGTGAGTGGTCGGCAAACTGGATGGAAGAGATTGAGCGCACTTGGCGTCAAGGCCCTTGGTCTGCGCTGGATTGGAATATATTTCGGCATCGATATGATCTAGCTGATATGACCCATTGGCCGGTAGATGGGGCGGTAATCTACCCTGAGCATCGAATATTGATTACAATCAATATTCTCAAAACCCTTTTGATTTAGCTTCAAAATCAATATTGGAGAATTGATTTTTTGATTTTGAAATCAATTGTAAAAACTAGGAAGAAAAATCAAAATAATCAATATACCAAAACACACTAGAAAAATCAAAAAATCAATATTATCAAACAAATCAAACAGGTCCCAGCCCCTCTACACCCTGCCCAGGCCCTGCTGGCACTCTCCTTTTTTTTCCATATCATTTCTACACTTCATCTAGCTCTTTGGCCAGGTTCATCTGCCAGAAAGCATGTCCCTTTTTCAAGGTTCATGCATAAATTAAGATGCACTTCTTTTTCAAGGTTCCTCTTTTTCAAGAGCCTTGGACTGACTTTTTCAAGCTTTCACAGGCTTGCTTTTTCAAGCTTGCTCCAGGCCAGAGGCTTATAATTGCACTTTTCAAAAACCTCAACCCAAACCTTTTTCAAGGTATATATATACCCTTTTTCAAGGATGGTTGAGCCTGTCAAGGTTGCAGGAGGCCTTTCTCAAGGGTCAATCTGCATCGATGCCAACTCCATCCCTTCTCTTGTGAGAAGAAAATGAAGTAGGATGCGGTATTTTGGTGCAACCTTGACACTCAACCTTGTAGAAGATACACCAGGGCTCACACTGGATGTGAGCAAGGATATCTTGCCCACAAAATCCTCACTGGAGAAAGTCCAGTGGGTTTTGGGGTTGAGGTATTTTGAGTTTGCAACCAAGTGCTGAAATGTATGGCATTTCATCACTATGTTGAAAAGCTTTCTCCCCTTTTCAGGGGCCCAAGCAGACAGAAGGGCATAGTAATCACTGAACCCTTTTTCAAGGGACATGGCTTTATGCCATTCAGCTTCTGTCAAGAAAGCATCTGCCTCATCAAAGAGCTTGATGAGTTTTGACATGCACTGCATGGCCTGGAGCATGGCCTTCTCTTCTGCAACCCCTTCATCCAACAATGCCTTGCGTACTGGCAGAAAGGCATGCAGGATGTGCTTGGTTTCTGCAGCTTTCAGGTCCAGGTGGGCAAAGCTTGCGTGGGGTTGCTTGGGGTCACAAATCATGCTCAACCTGAGGTTGGTGACCCTGGTCGGTGAAGATTGCCTCACATATTCTCTTTGGATGGCTTCAAACATGGCTCCCAATCTCTTTTCTGGCGCCACTGCTTGAACCTTACCAGGGCCATCATGCCAACACAGGTAGTGCATGATGCTGCCTAGGAAATGTCCCAGGACACCTTTGCAAAATAGTATGTGGAGACAATCACCCCTGACCATTTTGGTTGTCAGCCCTCCAATCACTCCAGAAAAGAGGGGATGATTGCTCCTGGGGTGCAGCCTGGCTTCCTCATTGGACACCAAAGTGAAGCCTTGTTTTCCTTTTTCAAGGGTTTTGTACCAAAGCTTCACTGGTTTTGGCTCCTTTTGGGCATCACACTCCCAACAGGGGTAGCGTGATGCCCAATGAGGAAGAAGCAATGCATTGGAGAAAAATTCATGATCTTCTTGAATGCACCAGAGCACCCCTTTCAGTCCATTGCACAGGGGCTTACCTTTTTCAAGGTAGAAGGGAGAATCCTTTTTCAAGGGTTGCCTGCAGGGTCATGAGTTGGATGCAACCCTTTTTCAAGGGCTGCAAAGCCCCAGCAGATCCATTTCATCATGGTGTCCCAGGTGCTTGCTTCAGTACAGCTTTTGGGATAGCCACCAATCATGAAATGGGAGCTGAATGAATTCAGCTGCTGGAGCAGGGACCCCCATGAATAGACCATG